TTTGTTCCTGGGATAGTATTACAGGTAGGCCACACCCCTGGGGAAACTCCCCCTAGACTGACCTGCCGCTTAGGACGCAGTCATGTGATCCATCATGGGAACCACCACTCACAAGTGAAGTCCAGCCAAGTTGACACATCTTCAACTATCACACAGGTCTTTTAACCTATGGAGTGGTGGGTGGGTTTGAACTGCCAACCTTCTGGTTAGCAGCTGAGCACTTAACTATTGCACCACCAGGGCTCCTTTATAGTACATGTTAATAAATAGAAAATAGAGATGCTCTCTACTGCAAAAATGCCTTTCTCCCTACTGTATGTTTCTCTGAAGTAGGAAGTGAAGCGTAGGTAGCCAGACTACTTAGAGGAGATATAAGGCCACAATGAACAGAGACTGCCCATTAAAGAGAAGATCCCACACTTGGAAAGGGCATGGTGGTCATTCCTTCCATGTGTTTGATTATAATGGAAACCCTGAGAAGCCATGCACCAACCACTCCTCAGAAGAAAGGTTGGGCAATCTATTTCCATAGAGATACTGCCTCGGGAACCCAAGGAGGGGCCACTATGAGTTTGACTTGATGGCAGTGAGTGAGTTTGAGAAGTCATGAAACAGCTCTACTCTACCAGAGTAGAAATGAAGCTGTTCTGTTGAACTGGTTGCTTACTCTGCTAGCTTTTTATTTTCTTTTTTCTGCTGTTGCATCAACAACTGCTTTGCATCATAAATAATTTAGAGCATGTGGTATGGTAGAGTTGGATGGAAGAAACAGTATCATTCTTTCTCTCTCACTCACACATACCACATGTACACATATGCAGACACACAGAGTTTTAGATTCATATACAGTGTTTGTATTTTTAGAAAAAATATAAAGATAAAGCAGAGAAGATGCTTTCTAATTATTCTACAATGGCAGATACTCCTGAAATACAGAGAATTAAGGCAACTCAACAAAACATTAGCACTGTGAGTAGCCATTTTTTCTTTTCATTTGCCTCACTGAGATTTTTTTGTTTTGTTTTGTAAGAGGAATATTTTTTCCTTGTCTACTTTTTGCTGATTTGCTTGACTTTTCAATCAAATGTATTTTCTTTCCTTCTTTAAAATAATAAGAATACCAAATACTCTTACAAGTTAAATTTATCATGATTGTTTTGAAATTATCAATTCAAATATTTATTGGTACTCAAAACAATTATTTTTAACTGAACTTTTAAAATTTAATTCAGAAAAGAATTATAATCTTCTATACAGATTTTCCTTTGAAATTGAAAATACTCATAAAAAGTGATTTCCTCCTGATTCCTTATGTTTTTTGCATTGATAATCTGTGGATTTACTAGTTCATAACGAGTTCCTAAACTTTCATATTTTTATTTTGAGGAATAGAAATTTTATCAGCACTACTAGTTAAGAGATTGGATCTATATTTAATGGATATATAAACTTTCAAAATGATAAAGGTTTGACCACACAGCCAATATTTTAGTGTACAATTAGCTCAGTCTTTTAGTAATTAAACAGGCATCTCATCATAATTTGAACTCTTTTAAGTTTAAGGAATTCTACAAAAATTTTCAAAATTATTGGCAAACTTTAACCCTCAGGGAGTGGGTTCAAGAAATAGGATCTTCACAGGGAGGATCATGCTGGGGTGAGAAATGAAGTCTTGCTGAGAGGATTAGAGAAAGTGTTTTGCCCTTGACTTCTGTGACTCCATAGTATTCCAGATTTCTGGTTTATGGAGGAAAAGTCTCTACTATAGCCCCCACCTCTCACTCAAGCCTCACTGAATTACCAACTATCAAGAAAGGCAGTAGTTCTGTCCTCATATGTCTTTCTTATAATGCTTCCATTTTCCTATAGAGGGCTCTTGTTTTCTGTTTTGCTTTGCATCTGGAAGGAGTGGGTGTTGGGAGAGTGGAGAAACATGTGGGAAGGTTAAGTATAAGTGGAGGATGAGGAAAATAGAATTTGAATGAATTATGATGATAGAGCTAATTCTGTCTTTGAAGAGAAGGAGAACATCTTGTTTGGAGAGAACAGTTACATACTTAAAATTTCATGCTGCTTTTTAAATTAAATGATAACTGCTTAGTGGTCTTTTTTAATGTGCACTTTGATTTTTCTCAAATAAATATGTGGCATATTTTTATATTTGAAGAAGGAAACCTTTTATAAATTTACCATTTTATATTCACAGAGCAAATAATCTGTCATGAACTAAAGTACCAGTCATGCTCGAGAACAGGAATTACATACAGGGTTACTTAAAGATGATGGACTATGGAATCAAAATAGAAAATTTATTTTTATAATGGATTAATTAATTAATTAAAACTCTGATCTCATCAGTAGAAGCTGTATTCACATTACTGTAAAACTTGTGAAATTGTCTTTCTTTTATAAGAATTTGTCATAGGACTTGAATTTCTAATAAGCCTACAATTATCCTTTTCCTTTTGTTATAATAAAGGTATTTTATAAAAAAGAAGTAGGAGCTGGCACAGCAGTAAAAGAGACCCCAGAGATTGAACGAGTAAAGAAAAATCAACAGAATATTAGTTCAGTAAGTTCTCTATAACATTAATTATTTTTTTTTCCAAAAGCAAACATTAACTTGATAAATGTTATTAGTTCTTTACTAAACTGGCTGAATTTTTCTTTTATTCTTCACTCTATTGAAATACAGTTCCGTCAAATATCAGCAGTCTAATTTTCAGAATGAGAACTGTAGCCTTGTTCCCCTTGAACCTAAAGCAGTGCTTCATTTTGATATATCACAGTGCATAAGAGATACATCATTTTAATAGTATAGTAAGAACATCTATGATTAGATTTTACCTCTTTGAATAGAATTTTAGTGGTATTAAATTTTGCCTAGAAAGGATAAATTTCAGTACTTCTCCACAAGTTAGAGCAAAGAAATTTTACTCTGATAGAATGATTAGAGGCCTTAGGACATGTATTTGGTAGCTTAAGTGAAAATTTAGATTTAAGAAAGAAAATAGTACTGGTTCTTTTTACCCCCTATGAGTCACAATTCTGAGCTTTCTCTTACATACATTTAACCTTGTGTTTTCTGATTTCCAGCTCCATTTATCTTCTGCTTTTGCCAGGTTCCGGCAAAGAAAAACACACACTTTGAGGATTATAATATCATTTGTAAAATAACTTAACCCTCCCATCGCCTGACAGTGGGTTTGGTTATTTTTGTTTTTTGGTGATACAATGGTTAAGTGCCCAGCTGCTAACCAAAAGTCTGGCAGTTTGAACATTCTAATCCACTCCCATAATGATTACTGTTGCTTGCTTTTTTGCCTTTAAGTTGGACCTGACTCATAGGGACCCTTCCTTGGGTTTCCAAGGCGGTATCACTATGGAAGTAGATTGCCCAACCTTCCTTCCAGGGAGTGGCTGGTGGGTTTGAATCGCCAGTCTTCTGGTTAGCAGTCAAGTGCCTTAGGCATTACGCTATCAGAGCTCCCACCCTGTAATGATTACAGCCTAGAAAACTCTATGGGGCAATTCTGCTCTGTCATGTAGGGTTGCCATGAGTCAAAATTGACTCTGTGGCACCCAGCAACCACAACAGTCACCTTTGGTTTGGAGGTGAATAGGTTAGAGAAGGTAAGAATTCTCTCATCTAGTGCTACTAGATAATTACTACTCTTAACAATAGGCATTTTAAAAAAAAAAAAAAAACAAACAACTTTTTATTGTGATTTGAGTTAAACTTTTCAGAGCATTTTGGTTTTCTTTATTTTATTATTATCTTTAAAATTTTATTGTGCTTTGGGTGCAAATTTACAAAGCAAATTTGTTTTACACTCAATAGTTCACACCCTGATTTCCATCTCTGACCATAACAAATTCTCCACCCCTCTCATCCCTGTGACTACCCCCTCCCTGTGCCCTTCTTAACTATGCATTCCTGTCCAGTTGCCCGTCTTGTGGCTCAGGGCTGATTGCTCTAAGGGGTACATCTCCCTAGAGTAGGTGGGTGCATTGCCCTGGGTTAGGTGTTCTGCATGTAGGTCTTTCTACTGTTGAGCTGAGAGCCAATCCATGAGAGTGAGTTCATTTCTAGCTCCAAAGGGTAACCTGGGGCTGTAGTCTTGGTGGTTCCACCAGACTCTATCCAACCTGTAATTCTGGTCATTTTTGTGTTTTTGAATTTTGTTCCACATTTTTCTTCTCATTTCACCCAGGATCTCCAGTTTTGATCTCTTTCCAAGTGGTTGGCATTGGTAGCCATGCACCATCTAGTTTTTCTGGTCTCGGGGACATGAAGGCTTATGTCCTCCTGGTCCATCTTATCCTTTGACTAATTGTTTACAGATGCCTTGATTTTCTTTATCTTCTTTGCTTCAGATGAGAGGAAACCAATAGTTTCATCTTAGATGGCAGCTTGAAAGCTTTTAAACCCCAGTTGCTAATTCCCAAAGCAGGTTGTAGAACAAGATTTGTATGTACTACGTTATGCCAGTTAAGCATGATTTCCCCTGAGACTATGATCCCAAGTCAGCAGACCTAGTGATTCTCTCTCTCAAGGTGTTTGTTTGTCTCTGAGAAGTTACTCCAGCTCTGCCTTCTGTTGCTTCTGTAATGTATGTGGCTAATTTTGAACAAAAGTGCATATGTAAGAGTATCTTCAACCAAATATATCCTTGGTTTAGGGTAGATTAATATTTACATACCCCCACTTGATCTTCTCATCTGTCTATGTGTTTATCTGTAGCCTGGTGTTTGGTGGTAGTCGTAATGCAGTCGCATTGTGCATGTAATAGATTTGCTTCTGTTGTCTATATCTTATGTGCACACTTCACTGTCTTTCCTTTCTCCCATGTCACCATGCTGGTCACAGACTCTTTCCATACCACCCCTCCCCTCACCCAGATTGGCCCCCAATTGGTCTGAAATTTTCTCTCCCCTTCCCTCCCATCCTCAGTAACCAACAAACTGAATTTCATTCCCTGAGTAAACCTTTACTTGATTTTTCACAATAATGGGCTCATACGATAATTGTCCTTCTTTGATTGACTTATTTCACTCAGCATAATGTGATTCGTGTATTCTTTATTATTCTTCAACATAGCATAGTATTCCATTGTGTGGATGTACCATAGTTTGGTTATCTATTCATCTGTTGATGGGCATTTAGGTTGTTTCCATCTCTTTTCCATCTCTTAGTGAATTGTGCTGTGATGAACATGGGTACACATATGTCTGTTTGTGTCCTGTCTCTCACCTCTTTAGGATATATTCCTAATGAAATAATTGCTGGATCAAATGGTGTTTCTATATTCAGTTTTTTAAGGAAACACCATACCATTTTCCATAATGGTTGTTCATTCTGCAGTCCCACCATCAGCGTATGAGAGTTCCATTCTCTCCGCAACTTCACCAGCATTTGTTATTTTCTGTCTAGTTGAACTTTGCTGTTATTGCTGGGTAGAGATGATATCTCATTGTTGTTTTGATTTGGATCTTTCTAATGGCTAATGGTCATGAGAGTGTACTCATTTGTTTGTTGGCTGCTGGTATATCTTTAGTAAAATTGCTGTTCATGTCCCTTGCCCATTTTTGAATTGGGTTGTTTGTCTGTTTGGTATTGTGGTGTTGAAGCTTTTTATAAATTTTAGAGATAAGTCCTTTGTCAGATACATTATAGCCAAATATTTTTTTCCAATCTATAGGTTCTCTTTTTACCCTTTTGGAGAAGTCTTTCAATGAGCATAAGGGTTTTAATTTTTAAAAGGTCCCAGTCATCTAGCTTCTCTTCCACTGCCTGTGCATTTTGTGTTATGTTTGATAGTCTCTTTATGCCATCAGTTAGGGCCCCTAGATTTGTCCCTATTTTATCTTTGATGAGCTTTATAGTTTTGGGTTTTACTTTTAAGTCTTTGATCTAATTTGAGTGCATTTTTGTGTATGAGGTGAGATATGGGTCTAGTTTCATTTTTCTGCACATGGATATCCAATTTTGCTACCACCATATGTTAAAGAGGGAGCTCTGGTAGCATAGTGCCTAAGGCACTTGACTGCTAACCAGAAGTCTGGCGGTTCAAATCCATCAGCCACTCCTTGGGAGGAAGGTTGGGCAATCTACTTCCGTATGATACCACCTCAGAAACCCAATGAGGGATCACTGAGCTGGATCTTGATGGCACATAACAACAACAACAACAACAACATTTGTTAAAGATGGCATCTGTCCCCCATTTAATGGGTTTTGGCTCTTTGTTAAAGATCAGCTGTCCACAGATGGATGGGTCTATTTCTGGGTTTTTGATTCTGTTCCACTGGTCTGTCTGTCTATCATTGTACCAGTACCACACCGTTTTAACTCCTCTGGCTTTTAGTAGGTTTTGAGATGCATGAGTGCAGAACTTCCTACTTTATTTTTCTTGTTCAGCAGTGCTTTGCTTATCTGAGGTGTCTTCTTTCCATGTGAAATTAGTGATTTGTTTTTCCATGTCCTTAAAAAATGTTGATGGATTCTGGATCAGAATTGCATTGAATATGTAGATTGCTTTGGGTAATATTGACATTTTCACAATATTCAGTTTTCCTATCCATGAACAAAGCATGTTCTTCCATTCATGTAGATCCCTTGTAGTTGTTGTGGTAGTGTTTTATAGTTTTCTTTGTATAGGTCTTTTGTGTCTCTGGTAAAATTTATTCCCAAATATTGTATCTTTTGGTAGCTAATGTAAATGGTATTGTTTTCCTTAATTCCTTTTCAGAGGCCTCTTTGTTGATGTACAGGAATCCAGCTGATTTTTGTATGTTGACCTGTATCCTGCCACTTTGCTGAACCTTTCTATTAGTTCCAGTAATTTTTTTGCTGCATTTCTTGGGTTTTTCTATGTGTAGGATCATGTCATCTGCAAATAGAGATAGCTTTACTTCTTTGCCAATTTGGATGCCTTTTATTTCTCTTTCTTGCCTTATGACCCTGGCTAGGACTTCCAATACAATGTTAAGTAGAAGTGATGATAGAGAGCATTCTTGTCTGGTTCCCGTTTGCAATGAGTCTTTCTCCATTAACAATAATGTTGGCCATTGGCTTTGCATATATGCCCTTTATTATGTTGATGATTTTCCCTTCTATCCCTATTTTGCTGAGAGTTCTGAACAGAAATGGGTGTTGGGTTTTATCAAAGCCTTTTGTGCATCGATTCATCATATGGTTCTTTTCTTTTGCTTATAAGGTGGATTACATTGATTGTTTTTCTGATGTCGAACCTTCCTTGTATACCTGGTATGAATCCCACTTGATCATGATGTATTATTATTATTATTTTTTGATATGTTGTTGGATTCTGTTGGCCAGGATTTTTTTGAAGATTTTTGTGTCTATATTCATGAGGGATATTGGTCTGTACTTTTCCATTTTAGTGGTGTCTTTCCCTGGTTTTGGTATCAGTGTTACGCTTATTTTATAGAATGAATTTGGGAATATTCCATCTTTTTCTATATTCAGGAATAGCTTAAGTAGTATAGGTGTCAACTCTTCACTGAATGTTTGTGGAATTCTCCATTGAAGCCATCTAAGCTGGGACA